GTTTACTGTGAAAGATTCGATTTAGGTATTAATTTTCAGCTGAAACAGTGTTCATTTTCTTACATAGATTTGTTTACGCTATGTAAAAATAAAATAAAATAAAAATACAAAGTTTTCACACACTATTGTTCTTTGTTTACAATACTCCCCTTTCCCTGAAGCACGTACCATTATCATGACGTCACCAAACGAGACAAGGTTTGTGAACGGTCCAGGGTCATGGTAAGGTTCCTTCAGTAGTATTGGCGGAGGATGTAACCACGTTACTGAAAATGGCCTGACGTCTACAACATTTGCTCTGGAATTAGAAGAATTAAACTTGTATTTTGAAGAAATATATGCAATTAATATAAAAGATCATATTTACGAAAAACGAAAGAACGAACAAACGAATGAATTGTTGTTTATGTTTTTTTGCATATACTTAGGCGGTCTTGCGCATTCGTTTCTGAAGCCCTTTAACTGAAACAGGATGAAAAACTCCTTAGCTGCCTTATAAACCTCCGTCTGAGCCGGTGTGGGTGCCATGGAACCCCAACCGTCAAAGATGTCATGATCATTCCCTATCAAAATAATAACAAGATTATTATTATTATTAATTTGTTGTACTTTTGTGTAAATGGGAATATCTAAATAAAAACAAAACAAAAACAACAACAATATTTCAAAACGAATATGTAATTGATCTGATGACTTCGCAATACATGGCCGAATCGTGGCTTTGGAAAATACAGTATATAAAATGATCAGTGTGTTTTATTAAGCCTTGAAGAGAATATAATATGATTGTATAACATCACCATCATGTGTGTTTCGGCGAAATTCATTTCATCGTTGCATGTTCCATTTTATTGGTGTCACAATTCTGTGCAATCGATGTCACCAATCCGTGTGTTATTGTGCAAGTGATGAAACTATACAATTGATTTTCTTGCTAAATAGGAAATTAAACACACGCTATAAGATTGTTACCATGCTAGTAGGATTTCATTATCAAAGAATTTTTATTTTAGATACAGATAGAATTCTTAATATATTAATACACGCGTAGCAAAACCACTACAACCCTCGCAGTGTATTTAGAAGAACGATGCCTTTGTGTTATCCGCAGAAACTTACACATTGCGAGAGTTGGGACCCTTGCCATCATACTCGCCAATTCCGGTTGTCGCCATCTCCTCACATACAGTTCAAAATATTTTCTTCTTGCCTCGTCTCTCAAACCGACGATGTCATCGTCATCAATCTTTTTCAATTTTCTATCCTGAAATTATTATGCAAAATGCGGTAATTAAGTCAACAATATATGATACTATGCAAGAGAAATACGGCGCAATATACAAAATGTCACGCCAAACCACGCAACACTTGCCAGATCGCTTTAAACGCACGAGCTTATTTGGTCTATTCGCCAAAAACTGTATTTAGCGTATACAAACGGTGATATTGATCACTGTGTCAACGGTAAGATAGATCACTGTGTCAAGGATAAGATAGATCATATGTCAAGGGTGCGATGGATCACTGTGTCAAGAATGAAATAGATCAAGTGTGTCAAGGGTGAGATAGATCACTATGTCATGGGTGAGATAGATCACTGTGTCAAGGGTGCGATGGATCACTGTGTCAAGAATGAAATAGATCAAGGGTGCCAAGGGTGAGATAGATCACTATGTCATGGGTGAGATAGATCACTGTGTCAAAGGTGAGATAGATCACTGTGTCAAGGGTGAGATAGATCACTGTGTCAAGGGTGAGATAGATCACTGTGTCAAGGGTGAGATAGATCATTGTGCCAAGGGTAAGATAGATCACTGTGTCAAAGGTGAGATAGATCACTGTGTCAAGGGTGAGATAGATTACTGTGTCAAGGGTGAGATAGATCATTGTGTCAAGGGTGAGATAGATCATTGTGCCAAGGGTTAGATAGATTACTGTGTCAAAGATGAGATAGATCACTGTGTCAAAGGGTGAGATAGATTACTGTGTCGAAGGTGAGATAGATCATTGTGTCAAGGGTGAGATAGATCACTGTGTCAAGGGTGAGATAGATCATTGTGTCAAGGGTGAGATAGATCACTGTGTCAAAGGTGAGATAGATCACTGTGTCAAGGGTGAGATAGATTACTGTGTCAAGGGTGAGATAGATCATTGTGTCAAGGGTGAGATAGATTACTGTGTCAAAGATGAGATAGATCACTGTGTCAAAGGTGAGATAGATCACTGTGTCAAAGGTGAGATAGATCACTGTGTCAAAGGTGAGATAGATCACTCTGTCAAGGGTGAGATAGATCACTGTGTCGAATGTGAGATAAATCACTGTGTCAAGGGTGAGATAGATTACTGTGTCACGGGTGAGATAGATCACTATGTCACGGGTGAGATAGATCACTGTGTCACGGGTGAGATAGATCACTGTGTCAAGGGTGAAATAGATTACTGTGTCAAGGGTGAGATAGATCACTGTGTCAAGGGTGAGATAGATCACTGTGTCAAGGGTGAGATAGATTACTGTGTCAAGGGTGAGATAGATCACTGTGTCAAGGGTGAGATAGATTACTGTGTCACGGGTGAGATAGATCACTGTGTCAAGGGTGAGATAGATTACTGTGTCAAAGATGAGATAGATCACTGTGTCAAGGGTGAGATAGATTACTGTGTCACGGGTGAGATAGATCACTGTGTCAAGGGTGAGATAGATTACTGTATCAAGGGTGAGATAGATCACTGTGTCAAGGGTGAGATAGATCACTGTGTCAAGGGTGAGATAGATCACTGTGTCAAGGGTGAGATAGATCACTGTGTCACGGGTGAGATAGATCACTGTGTCAAGGATGAGATAGATCGCTGTGTCAAGGGTGAGATAGATCACTGGGTGATAAGTGGGGCAGACCCGGGGACAGACGTCTGTCGAAAACTGAAATAAGTTAGTGTGTGCATTTTTTCTCTTATGACAATAGCGAGGTGCGTAGAGGTTAGGTCTCTTGTGTAACACAGCACAACACAATAAATATACAACAGAATTATATGCTTACTTTTAGTGTTTCTTTAATGACTGAATCCGCATGTATGTTGTCACCTCCCATCACCAGTAAATGGAATGGACTCTCCATATGTTCGTTTCTCATATGTGCCCACATGACATGGGAATTCTCATACTTGTTCATTTCATCCTGTGATTCCATTCCGGTACACGTAGCGAATGCAATGCGGGGATGAGAATTGAACGCTGGAATATAGCACTTGTATGAACGATGGTCCGGTAATGTGTACTGACACATATAGTCCTGATAACAATAGACAAACAAACATACAATACAATGTACTTTTACACAGTTTCTAGGGTGTATATGCAGATTCATGGGCTTTTGCCGAAATACATTTTTTTTTCATGTTTTACGGATTTGCAAGAGCCTGATTCTAGTTCGAATTGTAAGTCCGGTTCAACAGGAGGAATATTTTTTTTGTGATTGCAATATTTAGCATATACAGATCACCTTATAAGCATATTCTGACAGTATAAGACAAATAAATCTACAACGAGATAATACAAATTTAAAATTAAAATCTGGATCAGAGAAAGTACCAAATCTATGGTCCTAGTTTTAAATGGATAGACATTTTTTGCGAGAAATTTGACTAACATGCTGTAGACTATGAAATAAATTTCTAACAGTAAAAGTAACAGTAGTATTCCTTATCCTGGCATAAAAAGTCTTAAACAAAAAAAATATTTGGTATGAAAGAAAGCCCCCTTTCCTACATCCATGCACTTATTTACTAATGCCCGGGCACATAGCCTGGTTCAGTGTAATGATTACTACTAGGAAGAGTAAGTGGGTTACCATTTGAGAGAGGGAAAACATTAAAAGCAAGTCTATATCCTCACGTCAATAACTCTGAATTGAAGTAATGATTTCTTTATTTAAAGTGTATTATTTATATTAAAATACATATATTTATTAGTCGACTACAACCAGAGACCTCGCACCAGACCGTAGAAAATTATATCAAAAATAAAGTAAATAATTAAAATGAAAATTTGACAAGTATACATATATTTTGATAAATTATTGGGTGCTACTATGTGGGCAGCTGGAGTCTTAATGAGGAAATACTATCCTGCCAAATCAAAGCAATAATGGATGTCCGCATTGTATCATATACATGTCGTGGCATCAAGTCATCTATGAACGCCGTCAAAAGTCTGTGTGAAACTCACGATATTGTCATGTTGTAGGAACACTGGCCTTGTCGCTCCGAGTTAACGATACTTTCAAATATTCACGTAAAATTCAATGCATCGGGTATTTCATCGATGCTTGATGACCGTGGTGTTAGATTAGCTAGACCATATAGAGGAGTTGCTATTATTTGAAGAAAATCGGTCATGGATAGTTTGAATGTAAGTGTCAAACATTGTGACTAAACTAGGATTATTTTCTTAACTTGCATTATGTGTATAGAAGTATTCTCCTTATTTGCGTTATTTGCCCTACAGACTGTGAAGACAATAGTCAAATTTCTATACAATATCTATTATTATTATTATACATCTGTTACCGTCCCAAGCGAGTTTTAAAAAATGGGCTTCAGGTAATCATCTCTAAAATAAAATGTCACAAAAAAAGAGATATTGCAACTGTGATATTGCAGATACTATGTATAATTATTCATTGTATGAAACAAATCAGTGAATACATTTTATATATTCAATATCGCATTGATATTCATGAACGGCCATAACGTTTAGTCTAATATTACTCGGGCTATATATTGCTCCAAATTTGCACATGTATTTGATATTGTAGTCAAATTGTGATGAGAGTTTGGGTTGATCCATTTGCCAATATTTGATGATATAGTTCATATAGTTTGAAAGTTTTGTCAAGACATATTTGACAGTGATAGTGTTGTCAAAATTAGAATGGATTTGAAGATATGTTTGATATAATTGGCAGTGATATTTTGATTAACATCTAACCAAAGACGATATATTGTATACTACATTCTTTTCAAAATATGACAATATTTTCGATATAATATTGCACTTTAATTACTTGTGATAAAGCTTGTGTATGATTGCAATCAGTGTAATAGTAAAAAGCCAAACCACGATGATTTTAATGAACGTCTACATTTACCTAAAATCTGATCACAATCAAATATATGCTGAAATCGGCTTTAAAGATGTCTTCTTAAGACGCGCAAAATAAGTAGTAAGTGGATAGCCTGCGATACAACGAAGCGACGTGCATACCACGTGCCACCTTGCAGATCCATGTATAACACGTGACATGAAGACACGTGAAGATAAAGACATGCATATCAAATATGAAACACCCATCATTACCAATCAATAATGAAATAATCATAAATCAAACAAAAACACAGCAGCGTTTATTTATTTATAAACTACTAAACAAAAACACAACTTATTTCCAGAATACATAATAAATATTGAACAGCGACATGAAATTAAATAACCCATTAATACGACTATTCGGCAACACATCGTTTCTGGTATCTTAGTGTCTGGTATCGTGAAACTGCGATTTTTTTAAAACTACCAAATGCAAAATATAAATGCATAACAAATTCAAAACTCATAATTGCCATCCGTGCGTTGTAAAATATATATAAAATGTAGTATCAAACTCATAAACAAGATGTAAACGCACACAAAGTTCAACATATGAATGTTATTTCCAGAAAATATTCACAATGTCATACCAATCTGCAGCCCCTTGAACAAGGCGTAATGTTATCTACGCATACCACCACTTTTTAATTCCAGTCAACAGTCAACACTCACACTGAGACCACTACCTTTGCCAACCTTCTTTATTAGTTTCTGAACAGATATTTTTGTCTCATTTTGGCTACTGATATATAATATCTGGCTTAATTGGTAGACAATATGCACCGAAGTGCTTTGAAAAAGTCCATCAGTGAAGTGCATCGGTGACAACGATTACTATGTAAGTTGCTTAAGAAGTAGAACAGCTTACAAACACTACTCATGCAACATAAACTATTTATATCTGCGTGCACTGCAATTGAGAATATTTCACCCCATATTTCTGCAGGTAATGCGCAATTATTCACAACATCAATATCAACCTCATTCTCATCACCTATTTCCTGAACGCTGCCTTCCTCTTTCTCGGCATCTACTTTCAGTTCGATATCATCCTGTTTCACAGCACATACCTCCGATTCATTATGGCCCTGTTCGTCAGCACATACATCTAGGATGACATCATCCTGTTTATCATCAAATACGTCCATGTTATAACCATTCCGGTTATCAGTACTTCTGGTTTGTCATACGTCTGTTTCGCGGCACCTACTTCCGGTTCGTGACTTTGTTTTTCAATGTATACGTAAATATTGCAAACATAGTGTATTTTATTTATTTACACTGCAAATCTCGGAAGCACTTTCATGTTTTCCGTTAAAACACACCGTTTTAATTGAAAACACACTGTTTTATTTAAAAACATGTGTATTATACCATAAAACACTTGTATTTTCTATCAAAACAATAGTGTTTTAATATTTTTAGAAAAGTGTTTTAGGGAGTTATTAAAGCACTTTTTGATGAAAATTAAGCACATTGTAAACACACAAACATACACTTTTCCGAAATAAAACACTAGGTGTTTTACGGTGACATAAATATGTAATTAAAGTGTTTATTGATAGAACATTTAAGGACTATTGCATCGACCTTTATGCAAAATTGAGTGAAAAGTCTGGGGACTTGGGAGTAAACATTATGGTATATATGCCAACTAGACAATCACCGAAAGTTACGTAATGATGCGATGGGTCATGACATTACCTCCAGAAAATAATTTTATGTCAAGCACCAATCGAGACACGTGGTGAATTAAGTACCTCGTGGCCTAACGGATTTTATTAATCCGCATTTGGTGAAGGTAGTTGAAGTTCCAATCACATCTGAGCATTCTCACATGTTATTTTTCTCGAAAAATGCTTAATTTGAACCACTTCAGAAAACAAAATCACCAACGATGTTTTAAGGCAAAACACCAAACTAAGTGTTTTCAGAGTGTTAATGTATAATACACATTTGTGTTCATGAGAGTAAAACACTAAAACACTTTTCTTCCAAATTGTTAAATTGTTTTATCATGGATCACTTGCTTAAACAAACACACATATAATGTTTCAAGGTAAAACACTCGATTGTGCATGTTTTATAAGTGTTTATGTATACAACATGTACACAATTTGATCAGTGTAACTAAAACACTTTCCTTACAAATTGTTTTCCAAATTGTTAAATTGTTTTATCATGGAGCACTTTCTTAAACAAACACACATGTAATGTTTCAGCGTAAAACACTCGATTTTGCATGTTTCATGTACACAATTTCATCAGTGTAACTAAAACACTTCTTAAAGCACTTTGTAAAACAAACACACATGCAATGTTTAAACCTAAAACACCCGATTATATACAGGACACTTTTGTATGCCGTCTACGATATGCATCTATAATAGACACGTGCACACTACTTATTATCGACTGTATGCAGCATATTTATTTATTTATTGAAAAATGCTCACATACGTCAAATTTGGCAGCAAGTCATACTGTGCATGTAGCGATAAATTTACCGTTTTTAGTATTTTGCGAGTGTGCACACCATGTAACTGCCACAAGTTTAATAACCGATGGAATTAAATATGCACGATGTTGTTATCAAAGTTCGAGTTAGTAAGCTGGACGACGCTGCGCTAAACAGGCATCAATTTTCTGTGATCTAATCATTAGATTCAATTTCAACAGCACTTATTCTATTTTTTTTTTTTTTATTTTTTTTTTT